ACCGAGGTGCACCCACAATCGCTCACGCGGCTGCATTCTGGACAAACTGAAGTCTCCGAATGCTCTTCAAGATTCAAAGCACTTTTTCAAAATAATTTTCAAAATTTACACAATCCTCATTCAAACAACAAGGCCTTTGTTCCCCAGAGAATTACAGAGATGGGGTGTGTTTGGTATCAGTAATATACCAAAGATTTTTTTTTCCAGATTATGATTTGTAAGCTCTTACTTCATTCAGCCAAAACACTTGTTTGAACAGATAAAAAGACAGTAGATGACCAGGCAAAGAAGATCAAACAAATCTGGAAAGAGTATATTGAAATTCTGCACAGTAAAGATGTCAACATCCAAGACATCTTTAAAAGATACTCTCTGTTTACTAAAATCTGTAGTGACATAATATGAAATGCAATCAGTACTCTGGGCATTCCAAGTTGAAAGTCCATAGGAATGGGTGGGATTTCTACAAAAGTGCGAACTGAAAAAGAATTAGTAACATTGGCTAACAGAATGATGCCAGCAAATCTGGAGAATAACATAATGGTCAAAACAGATTGGAAAAAAAGTCAATCTATATATATAACAATACAGAAGAAAGAGAATTTAACAGAGTAAAACTACAGTATTTTTAATTTCACAGATAAGCAATACATGGTTAGGATCATCCAATGCAGATTAGACAACTATATGGAAAGGGTTATGCTAGGGATGGCTTTAGAACAGGCCAAGGAAAGCAAGAAAAAAAAAGAATGCCAAAAAGAAATCAGTGTGTGCTTACGGTAATTAATTATATAAAGGCTCAGGTCGTCGGAAAGGATTTGAAAGGTAAATAAAAATGTCAAATCCAGTCTAAACATCTGGTTGACTGTGCAACTAATCATAATAGTACACCACTGGAACCAGTTGAAAATGGAGTCTGAACAAGGTCTACATATGCACTTGTTAAGCTTGATAGCACATAAAGATTATAATTCGCCCCCACCCGAATGCTGAATGAATGTTGCTTATTTTTAATTACATGTTATGTTATATGTCATTGTATGT